CGGCAGTGTGTGTGTGTGTGTGCGTGTGTGTGCGCGCGCGCACGCGTGCGCCTGAATCACGGCAGACACAGTGCAGGAGGGCGAGAGCAAATCCGCACGGGACACAAGGCAGGAGGGCAAGAGCAAATCCGCACCGGAAGGTGGCTGTGCTGAGCACCTCCCTCCAGGGACAGCTGGGAGCTTCCCAACCACCGCAGGAGCCATTGCAGACACAAAACCTATTGCAATAGTGCGCTTGTGTGTGGCCCTCGGACTTGAATACTGTGGATCAGAGATACAAAAATACACCAGATCCACCCAGTTTTTGAGATATTTAAAAGTCTCACCTAAAAGAAACAGGCTGCAGACAAATAAAAATGTAAAATCTAACACCAGAGCAGTTCAGACAGGCCATTCCTGCTGTGTCACGAGCAAAGCCAAGTCTGGGAGAGTGGTCTGGAACAGCTCCTTCCCTCCCAGCCCTCAGAAAGAACCACCCTGCCGACACTGTGATTTCAGACTTCTAGCTTTCAGAACTGTGAGATGGTACATTCCTGTCAAACCACCCAGTTGGTGACACCTTGTTATGGCTGCCCTAGCAAGCTAATTATGTACAGTATTCGATCTAGTTAAGCAAAGGGAATATTTATGTAGATTATGTAAGTGAAAAGTGCTCTTCTGGCAACAGATTTATGCTTAAAACAGTTTCCTCCCTGAGATACTCCTGAATTATAGCCAGCCTGTCTTGCCTGCAGGAGGCCCCTCAGGAGACAGGCTGAGCAGTGCTCCTGCTCCTCACCTGGTCACTGCTCCTTGTGCAACCCTGACGCAGTCGGTTCCCCTTTCCTCTGCTTCCTTCCCTTCCCTTGAAAGGCTCAAGGTACGGACTTTCAAGTTTGCTGGTGTTCAGTAAGATTTCCCAAGCACCAAGAAAACAATTTCTGAGTTCCTGAGTAATGTTGCGTCTTCATGAAATACAGTCAAGTTCTCTGTAAAAGCTCTGTTATGCATGTTGTCTGCATAGTTACTAATAGGTGTGGTGTCAGCCAATGCAAAGAAAAACTGCCTAGTGATCCAGGAGATGGTCACCATTACGGGTAGAAGGAAAAACGTTTCATTGCTTTAGATCAGAGTCCCCCAAAACTGGCAGCTCATTAGAATTATCCCGGAAACTCTTAAAAGGAGGAATCCATGTGGGTCTACATCCACCTAAAGACTTTGATGTAGGGGTCTGAGTAGTTATCAAACTACTGTGGTGATTCTACAGGGAAAGCCTGGTTTGGGAACCACTGATTTAGGATATTTGTCTTCTGTAATAAATGTCAGCTTAATTTCCCCCTCTCTTACTTACATTCTTTCAAGCAGACTTCCTGAGTGTACTTGCAAATGGCTGTAATGCGGAAGCACCACCTTACACACTGCTTGCTGACACATACACGTGTGAACACAGCAGATGCCATGCCTTTCCTGCTCCACATTAACCAGGTTCCCCGAGTTCCCGCTCCTTCACAGTGCTTCTCGCACAGGCTCCCTTTTCATACCTGCTGTCAAATTCTTGCCTCAGTGGCTCCCTACCTTATTCCCACCTGGACCTGTTCCTCAGTCTGGCACTAGAAGTTTCTATCAACCTGTCCAACTCACATCTCTGCCCAGTCTCCCAGCTCCTGCACTCCCTGCCCCACAGTCCTACCCAGCCCCTGCAGTGACTACACCTTGTCCCCCATCTCCTTGGGCTGCCTGGGTGATTTCCTCCCCAAAGTGTGGCTGCTTTCTCCTCCTCTTTACAAAACCCCCACTCATTCCCCTCCCCCACTGCATACCATGGACAACAGCATCTCACACTTCAGGCATTCCCTTGCTACATGTACTGACAGTATCCTAGCATTTTTCTCTAAATCTACCCATTGTTTCTACTTAAATTTACTTCAAAAGTTAACTTTATATTCCTACCATGAATTTAAAAAAAGTACCCTTTGCAATAAATATAAAATAAGCATAACGATGCAGGGAACACACACACTCTCGCTAGACCTGCCTGCCACAGCTCTGAGCGCAAGGTCCACTCTCTCAGGAGCTTGAGAGTTAGAGGGGCGCCAAAATACACTAGGACCAAACAGAGACTTTCTCTTCAAGGCAAGTAGATGACCCGAAGGAGCACCGAAGTGGGAGTTACTATATCCCAATGTGTTGTCTCTGACAGCTATTTGCTGTAGTGTCTGTGGACCACCCCACACCAGCACTCCTCCCACCAGCAGGCATGTCCCGTCCCAACCTCTGGGCAAGTCTGACTGATGAGAAACAGGCCCTGCCTTCAAGGCCCAGAACAAACACCTCCTCCTTCATAAAGCCATTTTCTACCAGCTTAGTCAAAAGAAAGAAAGTTCTCCTAATATTTATTGCCAGGCAAAAAAAAAAAAAAAAGTAAGTTCTCCTGCCTGGCCGGCATGGCTCAGGGTTTAACGTTGACCTAGGATCCAGGAGATGGTGGTTGGATTCCCAGTCGGGGCACATGCCCAGGTTGCGGGGCTTGATCCCCAGTAGGGGGCGTGCAGGAGGCAGCCAATCAATGACTCTCTCATCACTGATGTTTCTCTCCTCACCCACTTCTGCCCTCTGAAATTTAAAAAAAGAGTTTTCTAGCCCCTAAACTCCAATGATATCTTTACCATCCACTTGGTACCTGGCCTCAAAGAACAGGGTAGACTTTTCAGGTAACATATGTTCCTGCAGGACTGCAGTCTCATGAGCACAGACAGGGACTGTCACCACACCCTTGTTTTCCTTGGACACCTATACATCATCAATACAGGAGATGCAGCAAGAACTGGTGAGTAAATGGCACGAATCAATTCCTGAATGCTTTCTTTGAACTTTTTCTGGTAAAAGTTTAATGGCACAGATTCCAAATTCTCCCATGGCTTTATTCACAATCACCCTACACCGACTTCTTCCTACCAATGACCTTTTGCTTGTCTTTGTGTCCCAGATAAATGGAATCACCCAGGATGTCCTCTTCATGCCTGGCTTCTTTTATAGAGGGACCGCTTTAAAATGAATGCCATCTGGTCTAGCTTAAAGCTGCCTCTGGCTTCCCATTGCCCTCAGAGTAAAATCCACAAGCCCCAATGTAGCCACCGGGCCCTATGTGAGGTGACCCTTGCCTGACTTTTCCTCTCTGTGCCTCTCCTCCACCATACTTCCTGTTCCTTGAACCAGCAAAGACCCCTGTCACCTCTGAACTTTTGCTTAAACTCTGCTTGGCTGCCTCCTTTGCACCCTCAAAGTCTTTGCTCAAACCTCCAGGGGTACCTTTGCCGACTGCCACTAAGGTGGCCTCTTTCCCTATGGGAAGTCACCCTCTGTGACTCCTTCCTAGCATCTGTCACAACTGATGTTGCCATGCTCAGTCATTTGAGTGTCTACCTCTCCAATGGGCCGGTGGGTCCCATGCAGGCAGGGGCTCAGTCTTATCCACTGTGGGAGCCAGCAAACAGTGCTGAGGACAGGGCTGGCCCCTGTCAGCTGTTCAACAAAAGCTGCTGAAGGAAAGAATAGTTCACAGGAGGGAGAAACAGTACAGGGAAGCCTAACCAAGTCCAAGCAGGGTTAACAGGAGTGAAAGTGCAGCCCACAGCCATTGGCATCCATGATACTAAACTAAATGCCAGGCTTTCCATGAACCAGCAGAACACCAGACACATAAATGTTCTGGCTAAGCAGCAACACATGAAAGCAGTCACCAGCATCTCCTTCAGCTGAGCTGGGCAGAGCTCCCACATCAAGCATTTGCTCACTCGTTTGACCATCTACTGAGGACCTGCACTACGTCCTAGAGTCAGCCCTCAGACACGCACAGCAGGAGCAGAGGATTTTCAGGGCAATGAAAATACTCCGTATGACGCTGTAATGATGGATGACACATGTCATTACACATCTGTCGAAACCCACAGAATGCACACCGAGAGTGACCCCTAATGGAAACCATGGACCCTGGATAGTGATGTGTCACTGTAGGGTCATCAATTGTAACCAATGCTTCACTCTGGTGGGGGTGTTGAGAATGGGGAAGGCTGTGCATGTATGTGTGGGGGGAGAGGGAATATGGAAAATCACATACTTTCCTCTTAATTTTACTGTGAACCTAAAATTGCTCTAAAAAAAATAGTCTCATTTTAAAAAAAAAGAAAAACCCTCACAGTCCAATGGGGAGGCCACCACACAGCCACCACCAACATTCTGATGAGGTCAGTGGGAAAGGACGGCGCCCAGGGAAGGAAGATCGCTTTGGACTAAGGTTCCCGGAAAGGATCCTCCAGGCTGGCAGGTTGGGGCAGAAGGAACAAAGGCCCCAGACAGAGAGGGGCTCTCAGGGAGTGGCCCCAGCTTGCTTTGAGCAGGGCAGTCACCAGGACATGTCATATGAGGCACCTGGGTAGGTCCTCCCATCAGTGACAAGCTGCTGGAAGGGTTGTAAGCAGAGAAACAGCTAATTAGAAACTAATTAGACCCACATTTCAGAAAGAAGTAGAGGATGCTGAAATCACACATGGAGGAAAGGACCCCAAACATGTTTCCTCAGCCACTAAGAAGTAATAACTGACATATGTCAACAACTCACTGTGTGACAGACTTCTGCTTTTATCTCCTTCAAGGCTCGTTCAGAGAACACACAGCCACAGCACCGCAGGAAGCAAAACCTGGAGAAATAATCCAATGTGGACAATGACTTACATGATAATTAAAAAACGATTACCCACATTATCAATTAACATTTGTTCAGCTTACACAAAGACCAAGAACCACAAAGAAAAATGGTTCCATTTGATTGTATTTATATATATAAATTAAAACCATGAACATAGGCTATAGTCCCATTCCCACACGCCTTTGGAATAAACTCTCTCCTATAAATAAAAATAAACACATTAAAAAAAAACAACAAACATTAAAGTCAAAAGACAGAAAAGGAACTCAGGGAAAAATATTTTAAATATATATGTGGTTCAGAGTTTGTGAATATTAAAAGAGGTATCAAAAAGCAATAATAAAGCAATAAAATAGAAAAATGGGCAAAAGGCATTAACACGTCTCATAAAAGAAATATAAATGGCCAACACATATAACAGATGCTCAACCTCAACTCTTAGAAATGCCCTTCAGAACAACAGAACCTGTTCCCTCTTGGGCAGTAATGGAAGAGGCTGAAGGACTGCAGTTGGCAAGTGTCCGAGGAAACAGCACGTTTGCTGGGTGGGCATACGATGCGGCACAACACGTAGGAGGACCATCTGTCAGTGTGAGGTAAGCATCACACTCCAGAATTTCTCCACGTACCTGTGAAGCTGTGCAGCACAGAAAGCACTGCTTGGGACAGGGTAAAAGAGGAGCCCACCTAACTGGCCAGCGGCAGGGGGTGGCTGAGTAGGCTGTGAGGACTAAGGAGAATACAGTAAATCTGTGAGGCCAAGAAAACATGCTCAAATTAGAGAAGTAGGAAAAAAAGAAGTTACACAAGATGTATAATGTGATTCCGTGACTATGGGAATAATACATATTTATATTTCTGTCGGCAGAGGTGTAGGGAAGCGTGGTACATGGGTATTGGGAGGGCTGCTGGGCCATTAAACGCCGAACAACTAATCCTGCTACTCTGAAGGTGAGGATAGGGGGGAACGGGCAAAAAGCACTTTCAGATTTTACTTTACATACTCCTCTAAAAGCGCCACAATAGAAAGGTTCTCCAATTTCCTAGGGACTAGTGCCGCGGACTGCCCTAGTGAAAATCGGATTCATAACATCGTACTAAGTTCATTAAATGTTGTTTAGGACCAAAGAAAACGTCCTATTTTATGGACGCTTACTAATTATTAGTGATTTAGGAAACTATTTGGTTCGATGTTCTTACTATACTATTAATTCATTTCTATTTTTCTATGTATTTATATCTTTATTATACAAACTTTACTAAATGTACAAACAAATATATTTTATAGTGTGAAGGCCCTATTAATAGGAGGGCAGAGCCAAAACAGGTGAAGCCCAATGAACTGGGAAGAGAGAAAGAGGAAGAACAAATGAGAGAGGAAAAACTGGAGGAAGCCACAACCAGAGCAACAGGCTCCAGGTAACCTCTACTTGGGACCCTGGAGCTGAGTTTGTTTCTGCTAAGTTCCTCTTTTAGGGTGAACCATGGTATTCTCAAAAAGAAGTGGGAAAGTAGACACAAAAGGTCACACACTGGATGCTTCCATTTATAAGAAATATCCAGAAGAGGTAAAACCATTAAGACAGAAAGCAGGCTGGTAGCTGCGAAGGGCCAAGGGAAGAGAGGAATTAGGTACGTGAGCCTGTTTCACAAATAGTTCCTGCTTGACCCAAATGGTGAATTTTAGCTTTTTATTTTATTATTTTTCAGCTTTACTTAAGTGTAACTGATGACTAGGAATTGTGCATATTTAAGGCGCACAACCTGATGATCTGATACACGTATACACTGTGAAATGATCAACACAATCAAGCTAAGTAACACACCCATCACCTGACAGTCTCCACTAATGGCTGAAGTTGGAGAGCGAGGCCAACATGACTTAAATTGAGACTACGTGAAGAACAGAATCTTTAGGTCATTCCATCTCAAAGCATAGTGCTTATGCTCTCTGGCGTAGTTGGCCACACGTAGCACATACATCTGTTAAATGAATGTATACTACAGGTGTGCCAGAAAGCTCCAGATGAAATGTGGTTGTTTACAGCTCAGTAAAAGTTTTCACTTACTTGACGTGCTTTTACCCCCTTTCCTGAACGAAAATAGTAAAAATTACTTTTCAACATGCAGTGTGTTAGATGAAAGATTCTGTTTTGACTACCAGCTGTTGAAGATATTTCTAAGTGGTGGGGAAAGAGTTTAGAGCTTTGGCTTAAGAGACATACTATACAAAGACATCTACTAACCCATTCAACATTCTTTTTTTCCTTTCTTTAACTGATTTCAGAGAGAGGAAGGGAGAGGGAGACAGAGATGGAAACATCAACAATGAGAGTCATTGATCGGCTGCCTCCTTCATGCCCCCTACTGGGGACTGAGGCCCCAACTAGGGCATGTGCCCTGACTGGGAATTGAACCAGCAACCTTTTGGTTCATAGGCTGATGCTCAACCACTAAGCCATGCCAGCTGGGCTCAACTTCATATTTTTTAAGGGAGAAACATACAGGTCACTTATATTTTTCTATACAAATCTCAACCTTAAGGTTTCTGGTGCTCTGGCCAGAGGATTTTTAGCTAGAAATTCAAGTGAAGTTATTAGCAGCTGGACCTCTAGCTGATATGTTCTGTAACAGTTTCCACTGTGAAGTTTTTAGCAATGACAAGGAAATGGGATGTCTGATAGGAAACATTTGCCCTTTGCTTTCTCTTCCATCAGAAGAGATCAGATAACCCAACCCAAATCTCATAAGCATCACATGAGAAAATGTTAAAATCCCTCTTTACTTCAGGTTTTCCTGTTCTTGAAAACAGAAGGACACAGACAACAAAGGTGAGTGGACTTGGACACCATGTTACAAATGGCTGATGAGGCGTGAACTATCCAAACTGAAGACCACCTTAAAGAAGTCTGTGTGATTACCAGGCTCCAGCACAAACCCTAACAGTACCAGTGTGACTTAACCAGACTCACCTGTGTCGGCCGTTCATCTCCAAGCCCACGACTGGGCAGATGAAACGTGCTCGCTGGAGGTCATCGTGTTTGTCTCCTTTCGTGTTTCCTTTGTCCCCTTCCCAGGCGGGATTGTCAGAAAGCCTCAGCTCTGTCACATTCTGTGAAAAACCACCCACATTTTAAGAATTAATTTGATAAGTGGCTCACCCTTAGCCTTAATAACCACCTAAATCAACAGAGAAATTGTTATTCTAGTCCCTTCCCACTCAAACCTCTTCTTCCTAGCTACTTTCCTGTGGCCATCGATTAACATGGATATAAAATTAAACCATAAATCCTGACAGAAAACACGATTTAAAAAATTCACTAACCAGCAAATAAGTTAGTTAATTTCTATTTCACAAATATTTTGCTATTTAAGGAAAAGCAAATCCTGACATGAAAAATTACTCCACTAAGAGAAAGCTTTATAATCATTTCATCCAGAGAGGAACACTGTTTCCCTGCTCGTGAATCCTCACTGAGGCTATTCGGTATTACTGACCACACATGTTTATTGAATAGTCGGAGATAGTAAAATGTGAGGCCATGGTCTAATGAGTCCAAGGCACAATATAAGCTAGAGAACACTATTGTATTCCAAATCAGCCATTCAGGTTTTCAAAAAATTCAACTTTTCAAGAAGCGACTTAGCCAAACTTTAGCATTTGAGGCATTTCCCACATTTAATCACACACTTTGACTGCAACACTCTGGAGAGCAGCCAAGTACCTTAGAAGGAAAGCCACGATGCATAGGGCTGGTTTACGGCTGTGATATGTCTCATCAAGTTCTTTGCTCAGAGTATTTGTGGACTATTAGCTGATAGTAAAGAGGGTTGTTTTTTTAGCATTAAAATGAAAAGTTCAACCACATACACGGAATACTGTGGTTTAAGTACAAAATTATATAAGTAAATTTCAATGAAAATCACATTTTTAAGATAAGATTTTTTTTAGGAGTGAATTCTCTTCCCAAGGCAAAAGACGACAAGAATCAGCATGGTTATCTCTATAGCACTATGATTAGCTACATTTCAAAATTATTAATTTGCTTGAAATAAACATATCCTGTATCCTAAATCACTCCAAGAATTCAAGCAAAAAGCCTAATATAACAATAAAACAGTTAAAAAGAAAGAGAAGGAAAAAGGAAAAAACCCAGGGCCTGTGGTAAGTAAGGGCTCTGGTCCTGTGCAAGCCCCACCAACTGGCCATGTGGCCCCAATGAGATATTTACAGCGAGGGTGAGAGCAAGTGGTTGACAAGCTTGATGGTTCTTAAATTCTTCACTATTCTGATTTTTCTCCCAATGACCAAATTTGAAAATTTTGTCCCCTCAACAAATTTCCTTTACTAAAAAACTTGTTTTTCCACTTTTATGACAGAACTTAACTGCCAATCAGAACTTTTATTCAGCAGGAGATAACTACAATGATTTAACACTGGTCTACCTATAAAATTCTCTAATTCTCTAAAATTGTCTTCCAAATAAAAAAATTCAAGTAGCTGAGTTTTAACTACAAAAATAGGCATCCCAACATTTATACAGCACATTGAGAGTTTCCAAAGCTCTTTCACCATATTAAGTCATAACAGATTTATAATGCAAAGTACAGGTGTGGGACCTTCCAGCTTGAGCTTTAAGTGACTGCTACAAAATCACATCTTTAATAGCTGGCTGGGTGGGACTGAAATTCACGACATACAAGAAATTCATAACAAACATGAATTCTATAAGATAAACCTTAACCACTGAGACCCTTGGAGCACTTCAGAATCACCTGTCTTACCTTAATGCTTTTAATGTGAGATGCTGCCTTCCCAAGAGCCTTTTCAGCAGATTTGTCCAGTAGAAACTCAATGACAGCATCTTTGTTATAAAGTCTGCAACAATAAAATTAGTCAAAACATTTTGGCAAGAATTAACCTTCGCACAAAGGATGAGTACTAAATTGATAACAGAAATGCCCAGCCTTATTAAAAAAGTAAACTTAATCCTCTCTCAACTATTTCCAGAGTATACAAAGAAAGAAACTAATTTAAAGTCAAGGGTTGCAAACTGTCAGTCCGAGGGCTGAATGTCACATTAACAAGGATTTCAAAAATTGGGAAACTTAAAATGAAAGTACACATTTTCAACTTTTCCGGGATAAAAAAATAAAACCAGAAGTTCTAGAATCACTAGGCCCACATTCTTGAACTGCAACAATTGGCTGGAACTGAGGAGCAGCTACCACTTTAGACAGGACATGAACTCTCCAGTTTCTCCCAGTCTCCACCATTCCCTAATGCCCACATGGCTCCTTCATGCATTTATGTTTATAACTCAACTCCTATCAACCCCCGAGTTTTCAACCCATGGATTAAATAAACCAAACTGAAAAGGTTGTATAGAATTATGTTTACAGGGAATGATAACCTAGGCTTCACCATTCTGCTTGTGATAATTCACATTTGATGAATCAAGTACTGCATTTACACATTAAAATTCTTTTAAAAATCATTCAATAAAAACATCTTGATTAAGAAACCATACCTGCCAAGTTCACAGGCAACTATTGGTCGCCTTAATATTTCTTGACTTAGAGCACAATAGTTCCATAGGGCGACCAATTCGGCATCTTTGTCAACCTACAAAAAGAAGGAAAAATCCTTTTAATTAATTTTCACTTCTGAAAGACATATGGTCCACAGTTCTACATCGAAAGGCTTATTCAGTAATATCATACTCATGATTTTTGTTTTTTACAAAGATAGTGACACAAGAAGCTGGGATTTAAAAAGTAAAAGTAATTAATACTATGTATGTCAAATAAAGTTCCCTCTAAACATGACACCCACGATGAAACAGTTTACATAAAGTTATTAAATTTCTTATGCAAGGTACATATAAATATTAATATCTGTATCTTAAAGTAAGTTAGGGAAGCCATACAGAAAAAGCAAACTGTACAGGTTAATTTCTAACAATGAGAAAGGCTCCAAAGTTTTAGCAGAATTTAAAGACTGAGAAGACAGACATTATTATTTAAAAGTTCAGCACAAAGATTATTTAATTCTTTATAAAATCTTCAACTTAACATATGTGTTTTTTGCAAACTGTTCACTGGGGGCACATCAAACCCTTATCCACAATATGAAAATCCAGATGTAAGACATTCCATAACCTTCAAATGATATTTTTACCTATATAATATTTAATGTCCCATTCTTTCCCCCTACTAAAATGCCAAACCTGAATAATGTAACACAATGGCACATTTGAGAGAAAATGGAAATAGAAAAAAAATTCCCTTAAACTTGATTTTTGCAGCAGCAACAACTGCTTAAGAGTCTACTATGCTAAGCAGTTTCTGTAACTTAATCCTTTAGCCCTCATAAAGACCCGATGAGTCAGTATTTTTACCTTTGTTGTTGAGGAAAGTGAGACACCAAGAGGTCACACAGCAAGTAGATGAAGGAGCTAGAGTAAGAGCAGGCTGGCTCCAGAGACCATGCTTTTATTTTTTATTTATTTTATTTTTTATTTTTTAAATATATCTTTATTGATTTCAGAGAGAGGAAAGGAGAGGGAGGGAGAGAGAGAGAGAGATAGAGACATCAATGATGAGAGAGTCATTGATCGAGCCCGCAACCTGGGCATGTGCCCTGACCGGGAATTGAAGCCCGATCGCCTGGATCCCAGGTCGACGCTCAACCGCTGAGCCACACCCGGCCGGGCCAGAGACCATGCTTTTAATCACGACTCTCTATTATTTCATACAAAAGCAAACCAACCCACACTCCTGCAATTGTTATTCTATCCATTCCCTAGATCCGAAGCCACACTTGAGCAATTTAAATAGCTTTTATCAAAGTTATTGGGGCAGGGAGAGACCTGCCACCAGTGAAATGTTTGCTGTATGAGGTGCTTTACGTGCCTTCTATTACTAAAAAGCAGTTACTAGTCCTAACTTTGAAATCCTACATAAGTGAATGGGAATCTTGGTTTCCTTCCTTTCAGGTTGTGAGATCTTGGTCATGTTACTGGATCAATTTCCCTGCCAGTAGCATGGAAATTACATCTAATTTCATCAATTACCTGTGAGAATTAGGAATCATTCACTCATTCACTAATTCATTATACTGTACTTAGTGTGCTAGGAGCTGTGCTACTTGTAGAGAGCGGAAAGGCACGGACCCTACCGCCGGGAGCTTACTATCCCGAGACCGACATCAACCAACAGGAACGCAGTGTCCAGGGGGGCAATACAGTTTTAAGAGAAGGACCTAATCTCATGGGGATAAGGGGACGTTTTGGGAAGACTTCCCTGAGAAAGGATGTTAATGTATACAAAGCGCGGTGAACAGCAGCGAACTGTATCGTGGTTGCCGTGGCAGACAGGCATCAAATCTGGAGCTGTCACCAGCGTCTCACCCCCCCCATTTCCATGTCTGCAAGGTGAGGGTGATGGAGGTATGTCGTGAGGTGAGAATTACGTGAAACACCCCATATTGAAGGTACTGCCGGGTGAAAGGCAATAGCAAGCGCGCAATAAAGGCCCATTGTTAATACTGTTTTTGAGTTCTACAAATGGGATAAATGAGCGCAGACGCGTCTGGAAACCCGCT